CATAGTTATTTACTGACCCTGCTGATTTCTAACAAAACATTTTACCTTGAGGTTGTATATAACCTATGTCTGGTAATCCCTTTGCTTTAAAATTCCCACTTTAAGGTTGTGTGCACAAATGTTTACTAAATTCTTGCATTTTTAAAAATTGTGAAGTAAGAAGAAAGCTAAATTCCAGTGAGACATAATGGTATACAGTGTTTTTGATACCACCTTAAAACCTTTACAGCAGGGGTTGGCAAACTAGGACCAGTTCAGGCCCAATCCATCCTGCCTGCTATTTTTGTAAATAAAGTTTTATTGGGACACAGAAACAGCCATTCATTTATATATTGCCTGTGACTACTTTTGCACTACAACAACAGAGTTGAGTAATAGCAACAAACTCCATATGACTTGCATAGCTGGAAAATATTTACTTTGTGACCCTTTACTGAAAAAGTTTGCCAGTTTCTGCTCTGTAGGCTGTGGTCAATAAAGAAAACAAAAATCCACAATTTTATTAACTCACCCATGAACAGTTACTGTTTTTATCTTTCATTCCCTGCAATCATTTCTTTGTATTTGTTTCAAAGGAGTCAAGGTTTTATACATAGTTTTCTACGTATTATACATACATATACATCTTTTCATTTGGTATGGTGACAAAATTACTATTAATATATCTTGCTTTGTTATTAAGAATTTTTGTGAATTTTTTATATGGCTAGTTAACCTATTACAAAAATGTCCCATATGTTATAGACATTTACATTTTAATTTTTTACTATGTAAATTGTTCTAAAATAGATTTTTGTATGTATATTAAGTTTTTTAGTATTTTGTATTTTGTCTTATTTGGGAATAGCTTTATAGGAGTGGAGTTCATGGGCATACTTCTGGCACATATAATTAATGATAAATGATGATTTGCTGAGGTTTTTGACATGCTGAAATCTTAAAATTTTGATGTTAGACTTGGTGTTTCTGGTCCCTTTCTGCCCTGTTGATAGGGAGTTTGCGTATTTTTTTAAGTTGTATAATTTGAAAAATACTATATTGTTACTGCATTTGCTCCCAACAAAAATAGTAAATTATAAAAATGTGATTTAAAGCAGTGTGAAACATAAGTGATATAAAGGTAAAATCATAGACATGTTTGAAATGGCAATTTTGTAAGTTATTGCAAACTTCTTTGTAAAATCTAGAATATATTTATGGAGTAGTAAAATGTATTTGAATGCTCTGTGCTTTATGAAAAAGATTTTTATGCTCAGCATAAAGATGTTTCATGCTGAAACTGGGCTAGCAATTCTGTTCTTTGCCTAATGCTTGTTATCATTTTCATTTAATCCTGACATCTTACTTCATTACTTTTGTGCTTTTTTGCTTTGCATCTTTCACTCTTTAGTTTTGTGACTTTGAGCAAGTTGTTTAAACTCCTCTGGGCTTCAGTTTCCTTATTTGTAAACAGATGATAATATCTACATCAAAGAATTGTTGGTACTGGGTAGGACAGTGGATGAAACAAAGTTCTTGCCCTTTTGGAGCTAAAATTGTAGTGCTAGAACAAAGACAGTGAACTGTAAAATGTATACAATCTGAAATTTCTTTAAAAAACAGTGTTAAAGAAAAAAAATCAGAATAAAGGTGAGAAGAGGCTTCTCTAACAAGACTGCATTTGAACAGAGACCCGGTGGAAGTGAGGGAGTAAATTACATGGCCATCCCAGGGAAAAGTACCTCAGGCAGTGGGAATAACAGGTTCAAAGATCTCCTTATTACCTGACTTGCTTTGAAGGTATGAGGAAAAAAGGCTAGAAACCTAGGAGGAAGATTTAATTTCTAAAGCAGGAAACAAGCACCAAAACTCATAAAGGAAAAGATGAATAAATTTGGCCACATTAAAATTAAAGCTTCCTACATGACAAATTAATTTAAAATACAAACTATAAAGGAGAATCGGAATGCAATACTTCAGTCAATTGCTATCTAGAAAAAAAAAATATTGTCCTCCAAGTTAATAAGAAAAAGCAACTATGCTTTTGGAAAAATGGGCAAAAAAAAAAAAAAAGCAGTGTACCAAAGACTAAACCAAAAAAAGAGGAATGAACATATCAAAAAATGCTCAGAACCAAGTCAGAAGCTATTGATACAACTCTTTCCTTACCAGTTTGATAAAACCAATAATTGGGTAGTATTGTGTTAGTGAAATGTAAGAAAACCTGAACATTGCTCTTTTTAGAGAACAGTATGATTATACCTAACAAATTTGAAAATACACTTACTGAACCTCTGAAAAATTCCACTTCTGGTTGTGGACCATAGAGAATATATCGCGCATATACACTAGGAGACCTGTGAAAATATATTCTTTGCAGGAATATTTGTAGTAGCAAGCATTTGGAAACAAATGCCATCAGTAAGATAAAGCAATAAAATATGCTATACTCTTACGAAAGTATACATAATTTTCTGTTACCACATTGATTTAATGTAAGCGATTGAAATGAGAAACATGTTACTGATAGTTTTCAACATTGTAATAATACGGAGAGAGAGTAGTAAAAATGTTAGGAAGATACATTTATAGGGACATGTTATACTTGGGTGACCATAGTTAATGCCCAGTAAAATATACTTTTCCCTGAGTTCATGTCTTTGTGTATGAACCGATACATATATTTGTGTACATGTGCATTTGTGTGTATAAAATTGGACCGTAAGAACATGTTAACATATGGCTTTACTCCCATTAAAATTGTCATGCATTTTATTTTGTAGGCTTTATTTTCCCCAGTAATAGAAATACTGCCATTTCCCCCATGATTCATTAATGGAATAGAGGAAGCTGCTTAGCAAATGGAATCATAAGATGAATGTATGTTTTCCTTTTAATGTCTACATAAATTCACCTTAAATGCCATTTATGTTTTGAATAGTTAAAAATGTCATAGCACCTGGGCACGGTGGCCCACAACTATAATCCTAGCACTTTGTGAGACCGAGGCAGGCAGATCACTTGAGGCCAGGAGTTCAAGACCAGCCTGGCCAACATGGTGAAACCCCATCTCTACTAAAGTAGTAAATCTATCCAGGCATGGTGGTGCACTCCTGTGATCCCAGCCACTTGGGACGCTGAGGCATGAGAACTGCTTGAACCTGGGAGGCAGAGATTGCAGTGAGTCAAGATCCTGCCACTGCACTGCAGCCTGGGCTACAAAGTGAAACTCTGTCTCTAAAAATTTTTTTTAAAAATTTAAAAAGTCATAGTAAAATAATCTGCAGTTCTATTTGAATTATTAAATATGTGTATTTAAATGTGTAGATAAAAATTTATGCATGAATATAAAAGGTATTACAGAAAAAATGATTAAAGGGGAAACTCAATAACTCCTTGTTAAGGATCCATATCAGTCACATCTATCTGTTCCAGAAAACTGATATGAACAGTTTTAGTGAAACAAGTTTTTAATTTTTATCATGTTAACAATGTCCAATGTCTATGGATTCAGGGTAATGTATACAAGTAGATGGTCCAAAATACTTCAAGAATACAAAACAGTCATTCTCTTAAAATATTCTTTTCAGGCTACTGCTACATGATTGAAAGGCAGGAATTTCATAAAAGTTTCCGTGTTTTTCAAGCTGTGTAGCAGGGATCTCTAGAAGTTTAGCGCTGGTCTATGGTATGTATGTGTGTGGTGGGGAGGGGTGACACTGTGCAGGGGTGGCAGGGGCTTTTTCGCTTGTATATGTTAGGCTTCCAAACAGGTTTTCATTTTCCTTTTTCCTAGAAAGAGTTCCAATGATAAAACAAATACAATAGTTTGAAAACCATTTGTATAGAGAGGTCATGGAAGCATAAATGCCTTAATAGAGAAGTCAGGCATTTATCATTATCCAGAAGTTGGATAATACGGTCATGAAGACGGACTCAAATATGAGCATTATAAATAATCAGAATTTCAAAGACTCAGAGGAAATGTTCTCTGCAGAATTTTCTCACACCTCCTCCACTTGATCGTATATTGCCCAATATTATCCTTTGAGCTTTTGTTGATAGATCCAGCACAGGAGATTTATTGATGCTGTTTATACACAAATAGCAGTAGAAACAAATACAATGGAATCATAATGAAATTAAGCAAATTGAGGAAGTTCTGGCCTGAATTGTTTTATTTTTCTCTTCAATTTTTAATCCATTAATCGCTTGGGCAAAATACGTAATAAATATATTTTCAGAATTGATGAGTTCTAAAAACTTAAGAGTCGATGATGTCAAAAATGTTGTAATAACATGGCAAAGAATGTTTTTATGAAGGTGAAAATTTCCCATCATTTTCTTAATTCTGGCATTATTCAACATAGCATGAATATATCCATCCTGTTGGAAGCAGGTATTAAATACAAAAGTAATTTTGTGATCTCATTCTTAAGGTATCAGTTAGCTGACTAGCCTCAGGGTCCTGCTAGATTCATTAAATTGTTTTATTATAATGTGCTCATTTGCTTTTGTAAGATTTTTAATTTTATAGCCCCAGATTTTCAAGTAACATGACACCTGAGCTTCATAAAGATTTCAGCTAAACAAAATCTATGAAAAAACACATTGAGAAGAAAAAGCTGTGTGCACACAATGAAAATGAAATGTGTCAATGACATGAGTCATCATGTCTATAAGCAGTACATATCTTTATGTATAATGTGAAATGTTGTAACTGGTTTTGAGAGTCCATATAGTTTATATGTGCTATGAAAACCCTGGAATTTAAGAACCTTTAGCATTAGCTTCTCAATATATCACAAATTGAACTTTCATGTTATAAATTTTTTTAAAATTATGGCATATTTGCTCACGCAAAGAATGGTAATTTTATCTTTATTATAAAGATAATTGATTTTATTTACCTCTTTGTGCACTTATAATTTAACCATTCTGGAACATTGTGTTCAGAGCCAGAAAAATTAACAGATTTTATTCACATCTATTGTCTATGGCTTCCTTGACAACTACTGCAGATGCCGCTATCACCATGGGGATGGTTCTTCTAAATGAAGCAGCAACTTCGAAAGGAGATGTTGGAAAAAGACGGAGTAAGTCTCTGTGTTGCCATTTTTGTAATTTCGTTTTAGTCTTAAGATTCATTTAAGTCAAATGGGAAATACATAAAAGCCCTTTGTAAACAAACTTCTAAAGAAATGTTCTGGTTTGAAGAAGATTTTAACTTTTTTCTGTTTCTGGGATGTGTTTGTATACTTGCAAATATATTTCTTCCAAAAGCGGACGGGGTAGTTTTCTGTGGAATTGCATATAAAGTGGAGCTGTCCTTCACCCTTGTCAGGGTGCTCTAATCCATCCCTGCGAAGCCATAGAGTTTGTTGTAATTCCACGCGGCAGAGAGAGATGGAAAATTCTGGGGACAGAGTCTTCAGATATTGTATTGTCATATAACATACTCTCTCTGCTACAAGAATCAGGGGTGCACTCAAAGCCTGACTTAGATGAAACTTCTGCATAGGTATTGTACACTGACATATATTACCTTTCCATTCGTTCCAAAGCTTCCTTTAACATTTTTTAAAGGGCATCTGTTGATACTGTCTCTTCCAGGGTCTTTGCCTTTTCCATTGATACACCAAGATTTACAGCTCCATCAAGTTTTCCAGCATTATGTTTTTAAGCAAGTTAATTCTGTGGTTTTTCTTTGATGGGACCATTTCTCTCTGAGTTGTAGAAAAAAATATGAGGTTATTGAGAAGTAAAGAATTTTCTAGCAAAAAGAGAAGAACACACAGGGAAAATGTGCTCTGAGGAGCAAAGGACAGTCGCTTGTTTCCTGCCACAGACCTTTTTATAATTAATATCAAGTCCCTATATGATTTGATATGTCCACAAACCTATCAGTTTTTCTATTATTCTTTGCATTTCTGAACTCTTTAAAAACCAAAATTTGTGTATGAGCAGCATAGGTATCTGAAAGAGTATTTATTAGGAAATTTAAAATAGAAATCCGGACTTCGTGGGTTTTTAGCTAGGGTGACATGTGTATAAACAAATCATAGTGCTTTCTAAATACTTAAAAGTCTTAGGGGTTGAAATGTTTTTGATGTAATACACAGTTTAGACTGCCCTCTTTTCCTATGGTATCATCTATTAAAGAAACTACAAAAGAAATGAGCACATTATCAGGTTGAATATAATTTTATTTATGTATCTTTTGAATAAACATCATGTCCTGAGGATTGACATTATCCCTATGAGGACATACTATTTTTTTTTAAATAATTTCAACTTTTATTTTAGATTTGGGAGTATATGTACAGGTTTGTTCCATGGGTATTCTGGTTGATACTGAAGTTTAAGTACGGATCCCATCACCCAATAATGAGCGTAGAATGCAACAGGTGATTTTTCAACCTACACGCGCCTCCCTCCATCCCCACGCTAGTCGTGTCTGTTCTCATCTTTATGTTCATATGTATGCAATGTTTAGCTCCCACTTTCAAGTGAGAACATGTGGTATTTGGTTTTCTGTTTCTGTGTAAATTTACTTAGGATAATAGCCTCCAGTTGCATTCATGTTGATGTAAAGGACGTGATTTTGTTCTTTATAGCTGCATAGTATTCCGCGGTGCATATATACCACATCTTCTTTATCTAGTCCATCATGGATGTGGTATATAGGCACCATGGAATCGACGTGGGTTGATTCCTTTTTTTTTTTTTTTTTTGCTATTGTGCATAGGGCTGCAGTAAACATAAGAGTTCATGTGCCTTTGTGGTGGAATGATTTATTTTCCTTTCGGTGTATACCCCGTAAGGGGATTGCTGGGCCAATGGTAGCACTACATTAAGTTTTTTGAAAAATCTCGAAACTGCTTTCCACAGTAGCTGCTCTAATTTATATTCCCGCCAACAGTACGTAAGCATTCCCTTTTCCCTACAACCTCACCAGTATCTGCTTTTTGACTTTTTAATCATAGTCGTTCTGACTGGTGTGAGATGGTATCTCATTGTGGTTTTGATTTGCATTTCTCTGCTGAGTAGTGATAATGAACATTTTTTCATATGGTTACTGGCCACTTGTATGTCTTTTAAGAAATACCTGTTCATGTCCTTTTTCTGCTTTTTAATAGAAAAAAAAGGATGGGGTGGGTTTTTGCTCATGGATTTAAGTTCCCTGTAGATTCTGGATACTAGATGTTTGTCAGATGCGTCGCTACCAAAAATTTTCTCCCATTCTGTAGGTTGTCTGTTTACTCTGTCTTGTTGTTTTGCTGAGGCTCATTAATCAGTCCCACTTGCCAACTTTTATTTGCAACTGCTTTTGGAGACTTAGTAAAAAAAAATTCTTTGCTCGAGCCAATGTTGAGAAGGGCATTTCCTAGGTTTTATTCTAGGATTTTTAAAGTTTTAGGTCTTACATTTGAGTTAATTTTCACATATATGGTGAATGGTAGGGGCCAAGTTTCATTCTTGTGCATATGGCTAGCCAGTTATCGCAGCAACATTTTTTGAATAGGGAGTCCTTTCCCCATTGCTTGTTTTTGTCAGCTTTGTTGAAGATTGGATGGTTGTGAATGTGCAGCTTTATTTCTGGGTTTTCTATTCTGTTCCATGGGTCTATGTGGAGGACATCCTCTTAATTATGTGTTTGTTGTATATCCTGTCTTAAGGTAAATAATAGTAAGAAATGTGTAGTAAATTTTTAAATCTTAGAACATTTATTATAATATGATACTGAATTTATTAAATCACCATTTCCAACTTCCCTCTTTGTAGATGTTTCTTTAACTCCAGCTCCCACCCACACCTAAATTGTTTATTCATGTTATGTGTGTGTATGAGCGTGAGCTGGAAAACATTTTAAAACTTTTAAATTACTCCTTTTTGATGTGATTTTTGTTTTTGATGTGGCACAACTACTATGATTAGTGTTTCCCAGGTCAGAATGCATCTGCCTCACCACAGCATTTTCTTTCAAAAGGTGGAGTATCTCATGTGACTGCCATGGTTCCTTTAATAGTTACTAACCCCTCACTACCCTCAGTTCCTCTCCCTTCCCATATACAAGTACTTGAGTAGCATTATTTTGTTCCACTGCAGAGGATCAAGTAATTTTCTTCTGTCTTACTTGATCACATATTTCGAGCCTCATTTCCCATAGAGCACAACCCAGGGGAGCTACTAAAAAGGAGCAAAGGGAATGAAAAGAGTGCTTTATTCTTCTTTTGAAAAATAAAAAAGGAGATGGAAGGAAAAGAAAGAAGTGTTAGATAAAATGCCAGATTTGGGAAAGTATAGAGTAAATCATTTTGTAATTCATGATGGGTTTAGTAAGATTGTTCTTCGCAAAGTTGTTATGCTGTATCTGGGTCCTGGTGTCTGTCATATGGGGATATTCTATAATTTTCAAAAACTTATTTTATGATATTCACAAACTCATTTTTTGGTTTATTTTCTCCTAATATTCATTTGAAGTTCAGCTGCATGAGTGTTGTCTGAAATGAAATGTCAGAGGCTACACTTGGATGCTATTAAATGCTTGTGATGTTTCACAATTCATATTGAAAACTTAGAAGATATTCCTGCAGAGTTGCATAAAAACGGACACATTTGCAGACCATATTTTGACAAAGCTGTACCTTGTGTACTCCATGATTGCCAGAATTGCAGTTAAACTTGGTTTCATTTATATATTGGAAAAAATTTTAAAAATCATAGTTCCTTATAGAATCATATAGATCGGTTTGATTTTCCTTATTGTGCTTTAGTGTTTTTAATCTTTTTAAATCTTTTTTATTTTACAAATAATTTCAAATATTTGTTTAGAATTCTCTGAAATAAAAGGTGTATTGTGCAAATATTTGTTCTTAAAAGATGTTCAGATATTTCTTGAGATTAACACTAATTTCTACTTACAGAACATATTTAAGTATTTAAATTTTATAAGCATGTTTAGATTGTACTAATAATTGCAATGAATCTTGTTTAATTAAATATCCAAAATATATGTGCAAAAGAAACATTTTATTATTCATCTGCTTTAGAGTAAAATCTTCTCAATCATAATAAAAAGGAAATGAGAAAATAAAGTACTTTTCCTATTGTTAGCTTTCCTGGGACAGAGGAATATTGCAAACCTAGACCACAGCACATTTGACTTTAACATGTGCCCTCAGTTTGTTTGTAAGACAGACAACATTTTGACACTATTACCTGCCATGGAGGGAGTTTCCTCCCCTCTGGTTCTCACTTAGACCGTATTTTCTCTCTCCGAGCTTTTATTCCTTGCTTTCTATAACATGCTCTCACTGAGGCGATACTAACGAATACCTAAAGTTACTGCTTAGCATCTGAAAAGATTAAAATTATATTAAGCATTTTAACAATGCAAATGTTCCTGCTAATATAGCCAATGCTTAATAATGCAAGAGCCAATAATCTTGTTTGTGGTTTATAACATGGTTTGTTTTGATCACTCTGGGGCATGTTAGTACTTGTAAGAACTCTATACGAGAAGAAAACCTCCAGAAGACTTAGATCAGTCAATCTTGTTGTTTTCATACCCCAAATAGTACATTTTCATTGAGAAGAATGTGGAAAATATTGAACACATTGTATTGTGGATAATCTGGTTTGTTGTACCTGTATGTGCCATGAACTATTAAATGTAAGTATACTGTAATTGAATGCATTTAAAAATATAAACAATTGGGGTTTCATTTGCATATTTTTAGACACTAATGGTATTTTCTGTCTATTTCTAGTAATTTGCCTAGTGGGATTGGGCCTGGTGGTCTTCTTCTTCAGTTTTCTACTTTCAATATTTCGTTCCAAGTACCACGGCTATCCTTATAGGTAATATCTTTATACTAACATGAATGTTTTTAACTAATAGAACAGAATTTCAGTGGTTAATATATAATTAAGGATGAATATAAAGTTGCTGTGTAATTTTTAAATTCAGTTAAGCAAGTGTTTGAGCACCTGCCATGTGTTCAGCATAGTAAAGTACACAAAGGAGATATACGACATACTTCTTGTTCCCTGACAGCATCTAGTTTATTTTTAGACATACATATTTTTATATAACAAATGAGGTTGAAGCTCATTTTGATGACTTCAAAATTTTATCTTCCCTTAGTTTGTCATGATTTTGACTTCATTCGCAAGATGGTTTTCTCATATAATTCACTGTTCATTGTCTAATAAACTTTGTATTATCTTTGGAATTCTACAAAAATTTTCACTTTTCAAAATAAGAGCCAACATGAAAGGGAAAAATTAAGTGATAAATTAATCTCTGGTCATTATAAATCATAATGAGTATCTCGTAAAATTTTCTACAAATTGTCATAATTGGAGATGGAAAGATATTGAAAATTCAAAGACCACATTATTATTAGCAAACTATACTTTCACTAAAGCACACTGTAGTAGATGTGCCAGATTACAGTTGTTCACTTTATGAATTAGGCCTGTATTCATTCTTGAGCTTTTTCCTCCAAGTTTTCTTAAATAACTTTCATTTTCTCTAGGCAGTCCTTCTTTTAGTTTAGCTCATCTCTCTAAATGAGTAAAAGCTCAGTATTTCCTTTTTCAGAGATTTTGAAGATTCTGTTTAGGTAATAGAACCAGTGATATGTTGATAGAAAATAAAAGCCTCTCAAAGCCTACATTTCTCCTGCCTGTGAACAGTGGACATTTTTAGAACATTTCTACACAGATCATAGTAACAATATATAGCCTTATCAGGGAGAAAACTAATCCCATAAAAGGGAGATCTAACCATGGGATTATAACACAAGAATATGAGTCTTCAGCCCCACCCCCTCTATTTTCATAGATGGCCAGAGGTACATTTCCAGTTCTCTTCTTCCCATAGCCATTAAAAATAAATATACTAAGGGAATGGAAGGAAATATGGGTATCAGATTTCCTGACACCCTGCTTGCCATGTAAATTTTTAAAAATACCAGTTCTGAGGACAGCAAGAGTTATGAGAGAGGCAAGCAGAGGCTTCAGGTTTTTCATTTGATTCTTGATTTAGATAGCCAGCCAATTTTAGTGTTGATAATGTGGAATAATCAAATCTAAGATTAAGTAATACCCAAGAAAGATGAAGTTTTCTCTTTTCTTTCACGCTGCTCTAGGATTGAGAATCATGTTTCTGTATGATTGGTACTTAGTTTGACATGTGTTCTATAATGGAAGATGTAAAGTCACAAAAATAGAAATACTCTATTTCATCTATGATGCCAAAAACACTTGAAAATTAATCCATTTTCATCTCTAGTACTTAGTTTCAAAGGAAATACATACCTTTTTATGAAAAGATAAACTATACAGTAAGTGATACTGTGAGATTCTTAAGCCCTAATTAGTTGACAGGAAGTAGGGAAGGGTAAAGGGCAAATTCTAACTTTCCTCATATATCAGAGCATGTAATGATACCAAAATATCATTCCCTATCTAGATTATTATCTGACACAGCAATATAATTAGGAAAAGTGCAGAAAAAAAATATTTTACTCATTTTTTAATAATGTTGCATTTGACAGTACTATTTTTGTTACGATATGAAGAGTTTAAGTTTGTACTTTTTTTTCAAGTAGTAGTTGTCATTTAGTGTAATAACTCTCCAGTGCTCTGGGGTTTTGTGGCTGTTTTTTAACTGAGGTTGGACATAGAAATTACCTGGGGAGCTTTTCAAAATACATATCCTTGGCCTCTCTATAGATAGGAATAGTAAGCACATCTGAACCAGCATATATGCCACTTACATTATTTCTGTGTAAATGTGTCATTTGAACATTCTTCTTATGTAACCAATCCCACACTCCTGTCAGCTCCCCACCAACCTAACAGGAGATGGATTTGCCTTCAGCAGGCCTCATAATGCTAGAAATATAGATGAAACTCTTGTAAGAAGTCAGAGATGGAAATTATGCCTTACAGTGGTTTGTGAATGTGAAATTTGACATAGTTTAGATGAAAACCCTAACAAGGAGCTGCCAAGAAACAGAATCAGAAGAGAGCCTATCAAAGAAGCTTGGGACACCAGGTGTGCTAAACAGTGTGCCATGCTGTGTGGAGAAATGGCAGGCAGGCCTCTGACTGCTGTAACAGCTCTTCAGAGTGCTCCATCATTTGCTGTGCTATTGTGTGGATTTACCAGATTGACCTAGACAAGCTAAATAGAGTTTGGTTACTCTGTTAGGCAATTTTAGATTCAAGAAGCCAAAAGGCAATCGGAGTATGTTAGATAATGGGAGGTTTATCGGAGAGAGATACGGAGAAGCAAGGAAGACAATTAAAAACGTAGTTGCCACATAGCTAGATCTCACAGATGTTGGAAAAGGTTCAGAAAATAGGTCATTCGACAACAGAAATCCATTGCTTCAGAAGTAACTCAGTGACTAATCTCTTGCTCCAATTCTTCCACTATTATTACTGAGTAATGTCTGTATACCATTCTCTTCAGCTGATTAGAGCCTTCTCTGTCCCTTAGACTCCCACCTATGCTACCGGTTCTCATTCTCTCAACATGATTTTGTGCATTTTCTTTTCTAAGAGGAAGGGAATGATTGGCTAAGTTTTTCACTCCCCAGTATTGGGCATCTGATGTAAGTAGAACTTTCACCCCAGTCTACCTCCTATGCCATAGTCTATCCTCTGGAGTCCTTGAAGGTGTCTCCTTTACCACCTTTTGTTGGAGCTATTCAAAGAGCCCAATGAATTACATTAATTTTCTGTTTTCTAAGCACATCCAACAGAAGCCAAATACAATGACAAACACCTATGAAAGAAAAACACCAAATATGTGAACAGAGTAGTATTTAATTCAGCTCATGTATTTGGGAAGAAGGTGGTCAAGATAGATCTTTGATCCTAAGAGATGGTTCTCAAAACTCTGTGGCTTCTTATTCCTACACCATGTGCAACTGAGTCAGAATCTGCAAGTGTGGGTTTTAAGAATCAGGTGAATAGTTACCCAGGTGAATCATATAACCATTTTATGAGCCTGTCTTAGGGAACTAAGTGATAAAGGATTTCCCAATTGCCTCTCAGTTTTAAATTTGAGTTGTTAAACAAATGCTTTATAGACATGCCATGATGTTTACTGTGAAGTCATTTGTTTGGAGAAAGTACATACAACCGTGAACCAGGGAATAACAGTGTAAAGTGTCAAAAGCTAAGTGGCAGATCTGTTGTATGGAAATAATTGAGAAAGATCACTGCGGGTTTGAGAAAGGAAGGCTCCAGAAAAAGGCTTGAATTAGGCTAAAATTCAACAAAGCATTTAGACAAAGAAGAGGGGCTCAAGATATTTCATGGACAGAAAGTCATAATTTGTATACAGAGGAATGGGAAGAGAAATATGTTCATGGTATCTTCTGAGGATTATGAGTATACTAAATAGTGAACATGTTTCTGGCTTAAAATGCATTAATTAGATAAAGAAGTATATGAAAAGGAAGATATATACACAAAAGGAAATATTCCTAAGCAATTTGGGTGAATTTTACGACAGTTCTCTAATTCAGATTCTAGAAATTTGCAAAACTAATAATTATTTTTCCAGGTGAGTTTTTGGGATTTTTTTTTTCTGGAACATCATAGTGTTCTGGGATTTTAGTACTGCACAGGATCATAGAGATCATATCGTTATTCATTTTACAGATGCGACAAAGAGAGTGTCTCTATTTAAAGACAGAAGCAGAAAATCTGACTCTTAGCTCACTTGTCTCTCCTATGCCATATTTTGTGTAGAAAAATATGATTTGTATATTCATATAAGTGGAAAATTATCCCAGAATCAAAGTTGAAAATAATGTGATAGCCAAAGCCTCTAAGAAAAATGTTGACAATTAGATAAATGTTCAGCACCAAGATAATAACTTACTTTGGCCTCTGGAATTAGTTCGAGAGATGACGATTTTACTCAAAAGGAAATCTACAGAAAAACTAAGGGACACTGACAAAATCTACTTATTAAACAAATTTAAGTAATTTTTATATCTCATTATTTACTAGTGAAAGCTGCTATAGTTTACATAGATGTGATGCCCTTTTTATATTTTTTAATCTTTATAATACTCTCTCTTCATGTATCCTCAGATCATATCTGAGATTGTTCTTATGAATTTCATGACTTTGTTATCGAGCTATTGTACTGTCCAATTTAAATAATCCCTGTAATTATAGCTTCCCAGAGCACATTAAAGCCTTCTAATATGTCCCTTCAGCTCTTTTGAAAACTGTCATTTATCTGTTTTCCTACATTCTATTGATATACTGGGAAATTGTTTAGCTAACTTCCATAAATCCTTATGGTGCTCATAGATAACCCTTCTTATGATCATTCATATTTGAATTATTTTGCTCTCAGGTTTACATAGTATAATTTTTCCCTTCATGACATTTACAGTATCCTTCCAAACCAACAAAATACAGTGGACAGGGGAGAATTATGAACAAAAACAAGTTTTCCATTTAAAAAGTTTTAATCCCTTTTGTTAGTCTAGCACATGTATATATGCTAAAGTCAACTTAGTAATAATATATTTTACTTTGAGTCATCTTTTTATTCCATGGCATTATTTTCCTTTTAAATAAGCTTTCGTTTCCTTCTCAGTTGTTTTATCCATTCTCTTGTGAATGATTATGATAATTCCCTGACAAACAGCAAAAACAAATGTTACTAAAAGACTGCAGAGAGTATATACCAGACATTTGGGTACACCCTGAGCCAAATTACAAAAAGGTGACAGTACAGGGAAAGCAAATATATATCTATTCAATTAGTTAACTAAAGAAAGAGCAAAGGTGATGGCAAAAGCAAGTGTCAAAGAGGG